GGGCGACAGAGCAAGACTCTGTCTCAAAAAAAAGATCACAATCACAACTTAGAATTCCTCTGGAAATAAATATGCTAACCTACAGAATGATGTGAGGAAACGTTTGGGTATTTTGTAGCTTCCCTGTGTGAATGAGCTAGCCTACAACAATAATGATAATTTAATAATAATATCTGAATGTCAAGTGGAAAAATTAAAAATAATTATAATTATTGGAGAGTAAAACATTTTTACAGATATTTTCTATCAATATAAAATATAGATTTTCCTTCACAGGCTTATTTGGTTTCATATGGATAGAATGCTTATTAATAGATTAAATTTTATATCCATAATTTTACAAAGAATGTTGTGCTTTTTCCTTTCAGCAATTATGTCATATTTAAATATTTGCTTTAATTATAATCAATAGGTGAGGCAGAGTGATAAGACTCCATTACCAACTTAAAGAAAATATGCAACATTTAAAAAAATCCTGTACTGAAATTTCATTTTCAAAATCTAAAATATGGGAAGGGAGCAAGGACTGAAAAACTAATGATTGGGTACTATGCTCAGTACAGGGGTAACGGGATCCATTGTACCCCAAACCTCAGCATCATTCAATGTACCCATGTAACAAACCTGCACAGATACCCCTAAATCTAAAATAAATGTTGGAATAAAAAAGAAGAAAAGGAAAAGCAAATGACAGGAAAATTTGAAAAAAAATTAGAATAGACTTATTCCCTAATAATCATTCAAAGTAAGCTTTTAGATTCTTTTAGGAATACTGTAATTGAGTATTCTATAGGAAGAGTAGTTTTCAAACACAAAAAGGGTGATGAGCAGTGATACTGTGTTCCATAAACAGTTATATTCTTTGTTTTTTGGGATGGAGTCTTGCTCTGTCACCCAGGCTGGAGTGCAGTGGTGCGATCTTGACTCACTGTAACCTCCGCCTCCCGGGTTCAAACGATTCTTCTGCCTCAGCCTCCTGAGTAGCTGGGACTACAAGTGCATGCCACCATGCCCAGCTAATTTTGGTACTTTCGGTAGAGACAGCATTTCACCATATTCACCAGGCTGGTCTCAAACTCCTGACCTCATGATCTGCCTGCCTTGGCCTCCCAAAGTGCTGGGATTACAGGCACGAGCCACCACGCCTGGCTAATAAACTGTTAAGTACTTTATAAAGGATGATTTATCAACATGTCAACATGTATATGATTTCATCCTATCTCTCCTGTTTTGTTTTGTTTTGTTTTTAATGTAGGATCTCACTCTGTTGCTGCCCAGGCTGGAGTGCAGTGGTGTGATCATGTCTCACTGCAGCCTCGACCTCCTGGGCTCAAGCAATCCTCATGCCTCAGCCTCCCAAGTAACTGGGACTATAGGCATGTACCACCACACCCAGCTTATTTTTTATTTTTTGTAGAGACAGGCCCTCACCATGTTGCCCAGGCCCATCTCGGACTCCTGGGCTCAGGTGATCCTCCCTCTTGGCCTCAGCCAAGCATCAGCCACCATTCCTGGTTCGTCCTATCTCTTTGTTTCCAGAATCAGTTGCTTCTACTACTCCCTCCCCTTCCTCTTCTCCTCCCAGTACTCCCTTTTTTCTTTTTGTTGCTAATTATCTATGACCTTACCATCAAGTTTCTATTTTAGTTATTCACAGTACTGATGTTGTTCCTTGCTGAGTGTTTGTTAACTATCCTATTTGCCATAGTTCTTCCTGATTTTATGACTATAATGTAATGAGCAGTTTATAGAGAAAAATGCCAAATGCTATCACTGACCCCTCTAGTACCCAGGGTTGATTTATCTTATATTTATGTGCCTTTATTTTATTTTTATTTTTTGAGACAGAATCTGGCTCTGTCGCCAGGAGCCAGACTGGAGTGCAGTGGCGGGATCTTGCCTCACTGCAACCTCCGATTCCCAGGTTCAAGCAATTCTCCTGCCTCAGCCTCCCGAGTAGCTGAGACTACAGGTGTTCGCCACCATGCCCAGCTAATTTTTGTATTTTTTAGTAGAGAGGGGGTTTCACCATGTTGGTCAGGATGGTTTCAATCTCTTGACCTCGCGATCTGCCTACCTTGGCTTCAAAGTGCTGGGATTACAGGCGTGAGCCACTGCGCCTGGCCTTATGTGCCTTTATTAATTTCAGCATATAATTCTTCATTTTCACTGTGTGTTTATCTTTTACAAATTAGTCTAAGTCAACCTGATTTGATCACAGGATACTAACTCCACACACCCATTTTAGAAGGAGAATCTCTAGCTTTTAGAAGAGATTATCTCGTGATTTCCTGTGGTCATTCAGCAAATATTTCCTGCAGACATACTGTGCACCAGGTACAGTGTCCAGAAGTAAAGATACAAAGACAAACTCAGAGTCCCTGCTCCCAGGTGGGGGTGTGGTGAGTCACAGTCTTGATCCCACCTCTCTGGCATCCTGTAGCTCCATCACCAAACAATTGTCTATCCAGGAGCAAGTTATTCGTCTAGCCCTATTTCCTTACCTTGCAAATGAGACAATTTCCTTTTGTTCTCTTGAATGTCCCATTTCTCTGTACAAACGATCAGTCTGTAATTATCGTGAATTTTTCTTGAAATTGCATGAGCATTGCTTGGGCCCACCAGCAACATATCGTGGTTGAAATTAAACAGGGGGCGGTCTAATAGGCAAAGCTTAATGGCTTCTGCCTCAAATTAAAATTTTTGAACCTCTAGTAATATCTGCCCTTCCTTTTCCCACAGTTTCACTCATATGTTGTTCATAAATCTTAAGTATGGGCTGTTGGCTCTCTGTTAGGTGAAATACTTCATTTAACTTAGCCAAAGCCAGACTTGAAGCAGCCTGGAAATCCTCAAGCGTCCCTTCTTCCCAATACATCGAGAGTCTCTGTAGGTTTTGCTTTTGTGAGTGTGTGTTTGTTGGGAGAGGAAGTTGTGTCTGACTCCTCCAATGATGATTAGGTTGCCGCATTGTCTGCTTAGCAGAAGCAAATCCTGGGATGCGCGTGGCTTTGCCTTGGTCATCTACATCACCCACGTCCCATCACTGGGCTCCAGTCTGTTGCAGCGCCTCCAGGCTTAATTTCTGTTCGTAATCTGATTATGGGGTCTGAGCTCTTCCAGCCGGCAGCCTCTTGCTTTTCACGTACCAGAGGCTCAAAGACACAAGTGCCTGGTCGCTGTAGTCCTGCACTGTGAAAAATCTCAACCCAGTTTTGCTTAGACCAGACGAAGATCGCTGCTGGCTGAGAATTAGCTGTAGAGCAGGCTGTGCTACTGAGCCTTCTGTGTGCCAGCATGTTCAGAAGCCCAGGCTTTTCCAGCTATTTGGGAGCTTTCAAATTCTCTGAGAAACAAGGTAAGGCAAGAGAAATATGAAATGCACTTATGTATGGATTTTACGGCACAATGAATGCTGGGGGTCCTCTGTTTTACCCTGTGTATTCTCCGGTGTCCAGTTACTTATACATGTTTCTCAAAAGACATTTTAAATATCTAATTAAGTTTATAAATGAGCTTATCTTGTGATTGCTGATAAGTGAATTTTTTTTCCCTCAGTAAGTTAAAGTTAATGCTAAACCACTAAAATCTTTATGTAGGAGAAATTGCAAATGCAGTTGGAATGCCCACACTTTGGATCAGATTCTAGATGTGCTGCACTTCAGTTAATATATTTTTCTAGATCAAATGCTATACATACTAAATTATTTCCAGTAGGCAGTGGTGAGTGAGTGTCTTTTTATTAACTCTTCATGTGAGACAGTTTGGAACAAGATACTGTCTTTTTAGTGGCTTTCTTCCAGCACAGAGGAAAATATATGCTTTCAATTTAACTACTGAAGTGGCATGGTAGGTTCAGTTTACTGACTGAACAAAAATGAAATGCTCAGGTCATTTTGAGTATCATATTTGAAACTCAGCCATTATACATCAAAAGTGTTTCTAGCTTAAATGCACTGTTAAGTGACTTGAACAATTCAGACCTCAGATTCCGGAATTTTCTTCGATAGTACTTGATGCTTTTTGAATTGATTTCTCTTTTGTTAATTACATAACAAGATACTTGTATAATTAGGAGAAAAGCTTAGATGCTTCACTGGCATTATACCTTTTATTTTATTGTTGATTTCTTTAGTTGGCCACACTTTCAAATTCCAGGACTGAGGATGTATTTTGATGGATAATGAAGTGTCAGCATCTGAGATATTTTGTACTTATTTTTGCTCGGGCTTCTGCCCCTAACTCTAAAACAGCCAAAGGCACTTCCTTAGGGCAAGAAGTTTCTGTAAGTGTCTATTTGTGGTTTTCTCAGTGAAAAAATGGTTTCTATGCCAAAGACTTTAAAACAGATTACATGGCATTAGACTGGTTATAAATTTTGTCTGTGCCTGGTTTTGATTAACCTGTTCACTCGGGAAGTGTTTTCCTGTATAGAATTGTTCCAGCTGTCTTTACATAATATATATCTTGTCTTCAAAAATACTAATAAATGGGTTTTTTTGTTGATTGTTATTGTTTAGATTTTAATGAAAGCAAAAGACACAGCCGAGTTGTCCTCTGCTCTTCAGACCCCACCCCCATTCTTTAAAGGCATCCCAAACATTTCTAGTTACGGTGACCAAAATTGCTTATTTCTCCTCTATTCCTGAGTATATAGCTGTGTTGTTTAGTACTTAATTGCTTTGAGTTATTCTTGTTGCCATGACAAATTTAAATAACATTGAACTATGTTAGAAGTACTATCATTATTATTGTTGTTACCATTACTTTTACCCACGGAGTAAAGTTGGCTACTTTCTGGGAGAGAAAAAAAAACTCGCATATGTAAATTTACATGGAATTTGATTCTTAGAAGGCGTCATTTTTGTATTTCTATTTTTTGTCTGATTCATGGTTTTCTTTTTCTTATATGTTCAAAGGGAGTTTGGAGAGTTTTTTCTCATTGGATTTTTAACATTTTATGTAACTATTTTTATGTTATTTTATTTCTTTTCCCTTAGATTTTAACAAGAAAAACTTAAGCATCGTTGGATTCCCACGTCAAAGAAAAGTTTCAAGGTAAAGTGGCCTTGGCTCAAGGACTGTGACATTTTAAGGATTTGTCATGGCTTTGAAAATATTCTCTTGAGTATCTAACTCATGAGTTTCAATGTATGGCAATATGTTGTCTCCCTAGAATTTGATTTATTAAAATGTATGACACAAAGGACTCTTTTATATTTAATGCTGTTTATGGAAACTATTTGGAGAACAGAATCTTTGTTCTCTTGCCATTGCAAACTTTTAAAGAACGATGACCTTTTCTTTATCACACCTGCCTCTAAACATGCAAAGAAAAGTTGCATGCTTTTGCAATCTGTCCATCAAAGAAGGGAGCTAGATGTTTTAGAAATGGCTTAAACTTATTTCTCCTCCCTCTCTCTTCCTTCTTCCTTCCTCTCCTCCCTCCCCTTCCCTTTCTACACACACACACACACACACACACACACACACACCCATCCATGTGAGTTATTCTTCCCTAATCTTCCCAACTCTCTCTCTTACCCTTTCTGTACTTCCAGTCCCCTTGGCTGCAGAATATTATGGGTACTAATTTGATTGACCTAATGTGCTAAAACTTCATGACACATCATCATGGATGTAAGAGAATGTGGAAATGAATGTCTATACTATACACAGTAGCTGTATCTCAGGTACTTCTTAGTAGATCATTGTATGTATTAATTAATAGTTTGAAAGTAACCGAACTATCCCCAACAAAATATCTCCTACACAGTCAGAGTCAGGCAAGGGTCTCAACCTGTGCTTCATTACAGTGGAAGGACCCAGCCCCAAATTCCACTAAGTTGCTCTTGTGCCTAAGCTATTATGACATTGTTTCATGACAGCAAAGGGTTTGCATTTCAATAACACTTTATAGGCAGGGCTCTAACTCCTGTCCTCCTCAGGCTGAGCCTGCTCTGCATTTGAAAATGGCAGAGTTGATCTTGTGAACACACTGGATGGGATACATTTTTGATATATTTCATCCACATCTTTTAAATTTTGTTCTGTATTTAATTTTTACACACAGTATCATCAAGCAGCACATCTAAATATGAGGTTAATTGGAGCAAAGTTGATCCAGGGTCATCAGTGAGGCTGTCTTAACTGACTCAGGAAAGATCACTTTTTTAATGGGGTACATCCATATTTCTCATCTTGGCCATGTTTTAATAGGATCTGAGGCTTGGTTTCTATGATGTCCCTGGCAGGTTGGTTTAACTGTCATGAAGCTAATAAGTGACTAAGGAAAAAGAGACAGGAAGACATTCCTTATTCAGGGATAGTAAAGGCATGCAATGTGTAAGTCACACACATCAGTGGACAGAGACTCACAGAGACACAGCTATTCTCAAATCATGGGTGTTATAACATGCATACCTGTTAAAATGACAGCCTATGCACCATGGTGCTAAGTGTAAAATGGGCTGGAGGCACAAGAACCTGCTTCCTCAAAAGAAACCTGGTCAACCAGACACCAGCTAAAAGAGATGAAAGTATGAGCTAGTGGGGCTTCGTCTCCCGTATCTTGTAATGAGCAGATTGCGGAGGAGACTTGCACCGTGTGGCTGCTGAACCGTCCTTGCAATAGTAGTAGCGCATTCCATGTTGTGAAAAATAGAGATGATAACAGCAGAGCATCCTGCTCTCTCCCTTTACTAAAATTCCCCTGTGTTGCTACAGGTAGGCATTTAAGTAGGTTAATGGGACACATTTAGAAGACAAATTGTCACAGAAGCAGGGGGCATTCCCTTCTTAGATGATTGAAGCAGAGGGAGGGAGATGGTGGCACAGTCAGTCCTGAAGAGCAAGCACTGTTTCAGGGGAGATGAAAAGAGCTGGATAAAAATCCAAAAGGTGTTTCTCACTATTAGAAAGTTAAAATCAAGATGCAGAAATAGGTAGACGGCATTTACTTTAGTATCTATGGACAGACGCTTCCCTACTGAAACATAGGCTCTTACTTTGGATTGAGCTGTAGCAAGACACCAAGGCCTGCAGCCGTCGTCCCTGCAGAGACTCTTTTGTCCTTGGGGAGGTTGGGGGTGGGAGGTGACTGATGAGGAAGGGCAGGATCCATTATCCGAGAGCTCCGTGCTTTTGGGGTCATCGGTCAACTGGTCATGTGCATTAGGAATAGACCCTACCAGTCTCTCTGCTCGGGTGCCTCTGAGTCAGAAGAAGCAGAGAGGAGAGGAGAGTCTGGACACTCACAGGTCCTTGGGCTTCATCAGCGTTAAATGAGCAGAAAAAGGTGCTCACTGATGAAACGTCCTGAATTTTAGGAGGGCATCTTACCTGTATTTTCACTGATGGTTGGTGCCCTCGGGTAGAGAAAGTTCAGGGAAGGAAGGTTATTTTTGTTTTAAAGAGAGAAACTCGATTTCTCATGTTGATTGGAGGGGTCTTGCATCAATCACAGCCTGTGGCACCGCCTTGAGCCGCAGCCACACTTTCCAGCCCAGTCTGCCTGCCCCTGCTCCTCCTGTCTGCTCATCTGCTTTCTCAGAAGCCCTGGTCATTTAGCAGGAGCAGGGGAGAGAGGCAGCGAAGAGGGGAACAGAGGGTGATGACAGCCGTGTGGACTCGGTAATAAATGTCTACCTGGAAGCTGCAGATTCTAAAATCGATACTCTATAAACATGTGCAATTATGCCACTTTTTCACACATGTATGCAAGGTGAGCAAAGGTAATAAGGAGTGTTCCCAGTTATGTCCTATCCAAAGATCAAAGAAGAAAGGGAAGGAGGGAGGGTGAGAAGGAAGGGAGGGCGGGAGGAAGGAGGGGCTTGTAACTGATGTTATTGCCCTTATGCTCTTACAGTTGTTCTCGATGTTTGTAATGATTTTTACCCCTGGCCACCACCTCAACATTGCATAGAAGGTACACCAAAAATACTTCAGGGTGAATCGTAGTATTAATTTGAAATGTTTTGTAGTAATCATTTATTTGAAATATGTTAATTTTCTTAAAATTATGTTTAATTTAATCACTTAGTTTTTTTAAGAGACAGGGTCCCACTCTGTCACCCAGGCTGGAGTACAGTGGCACAATCATAGCTCACTGCAGCCTCAAACTCCTAGAGTTAGTGAGTCCTGCCACTCAACCTCCTAAGTAGCTGGGTCTACAGGCTTGTGCCTGTGCCTGGCTAATTTTTCTATTTTTTGTAGAGATGGGATCTTGCTATGTCCCCCAGGCTGGTCTTGAACTCTTGGGCTCAAACAACCCTCCTGCCTCAGTCCGCACGAAGTGCTGGGGTTAACGAGGTGTATAATATCCTTTGGGTGCTGGTGGGGATAGGCAGTGGGTCTGGGTACTCTGTGAGACGAAGCCACAGGATGGCAGGAGGCTGGAGAGGAGAGCGCTCAGGGGAGGAAACAGCATGTCAAGTGAACTGCGCTGGGAAGCATCAGAGACTTTCCTCTTAGAACTTTGGTTTCCATTGGTTTCTGACCTGCCGTCAAAAGGCTTCACTTCCCATGGGTGCTGGCTCTATTTGTAGCATGTTTCGAGAAAGTAAGTGCCTGTGGATCTGGGGAGTGTCGGGGAGACGACTCGTAAAGCTCACTCTGTAGACTCCAGCAGAGTATTGGACTCGGGACAGTTTCCTGCTTTTCATTAGCGGCTCCATTGAGCTTTCTGAGAAACAGAAAGAAAGAAGGAAATAAAGACACACACATGTCTATTTTTGAAAATATGAGATAGCATTTGTACCCCAAGGTCAGTGGTCTGAGAAGCTGAATATTTTAGGGATTGCATTATATTTTTTTTCTTGAAAAGATTATAGTTTCCAAAAGCAAGTACAGAGCTTTGTCAAGATGTTAAAATTAGCAATTAAATAATCAATTAAAATAACATGCCATTCCTGAAGTCAGGTACATTTCTGCCATTAATTTTTTAGCTTTGTACTAAATCCTGCATGTGAATAAAACACTGATAGGAGTAGTTACCGCCTTACAACTCAGTGTTTAGAAGTCGGGGCTCATTCTAAGTTTCTGACTAGGCAGGTGTCCTGGGGTCTTCCAACCATTCCAGAGCATGGCTCATAAAGCCTAATTCTTCTCAGGACTTTTTATTAAATAATGTGAACACATGACACACATACTTAGGGAATATAAGCTTTACTCCATTGCATATGGAAAAACGAAGATTTCAGATGGACTTGGTTCTAGGAAGGCAGAGTGGTAGGTCGTGTTTTGGATGGTGTAGAAGTTCCTTCTATGTAGTTTATACATGGGGTGTGGGTGATTCATGCGTCCCACTCACACAGTGTCCACACAGCTTCCTCCGTCTCTCCCTTGGCCTGTATGGAAATGCACCCGTGCAGGGGGAGGGATGGCTTCACAGTAAGTCTTTCCAAGCCTGTCTTTCACCCTCTGAGGTCACACTGACCTTGAGGAACAGCAGTTTCCTGTTTTCACAGGTTTGCTTCCTTCAAGGCACCAGCACCCTCTGCCCTGCCTGCTCCAGGCACATCGAAGACCATGGAGTTGTGTACACATCAGTCTCAGGGTGGCTGTGGCTGGTATTAAACTAGGAGATGGATTTGAATCTCATCTCTTCTTCTTGTCAAATATGAGCTTTTGGGAAAATCATGTAACAATTCCCGGATCTGTAAACTGAGGATGACACTAGTTCTGGTGTTGTGCTGGGGCCAGACGTGCGAGCCTCTCTCCTGACTCTGAGTTCAGTGAGTCCTGTGGGAGCCACCGTGGTGAGAGTGTTGACACCACCCACCAATACTACAAAGCAGGTGCTTTTCTCAGGGCCAGGTGGAGGGCCTGGGTGGGTAGGGCTAGGTGTCAGGCCTAAGTGGGCAGGGCTGGGTGGGTGGAACAAGAGGGCAGGGCCATTTGCACCTTTATCAGCATACCGCTGAGTAGTTCTCACCTCTTAGGGTCTTGGGGAGATAATTAGGGAGATACCTGGGTGTGCTTACCCTGGGGAAGTCCACAGAAAGGGCTCACTTCCTTTATTCTCCCCTTTCATTTCCTCTTTTATTCCAACACAAGGCTTCATGAGGTTTTCCAAACTTTAATGTCTTGGTCGTTTGAAGGCACCTGTTACTTTAATCTAATTTTGATACTGGAGGACAGCATGTAGATCACCTAGACAAGTTACTGGTTTTCTGAAGAAGAAATTATAGCACAGAGAGGTTGAGTAATTAATCCAAGCTTGCAAAGCTATTCCTGGGTCGAGAAGAGGTGTTCAGTGCGAGTGAAAGCACATGACTTCCAGTTCGGCAATGTTTTCACTCTCACACACCACACCACCCCACACTACCCACTAATCCTGCTGTAATTACTTAGGTGCACAAAAAATCACCATATTTACACAAATATAAGTAAATGAAAAAGCTACCAATTTTCTCACCAAAGTAAAATGTTTTACTTGTGATCTATGTGTTCATATTTAATGATGTGTAACAATATCATAATTTTTATGTTCTGTATTTTTTCACTTATATATCTTGATTTAAATGGACTTTATTAATGGAGTAATTTTTAGCTTTCAGAAAGAGTTGTCATTTGAAGATCAAGAACAGCTCCCTAACCACAAAAGAGGAATCGATGCTAAGCTTTCAGCTACACTTCCGAAAGGTAAGGCTGCTCCTCAGTGACCAGCGTGTCTGGGTGGAGGAGTACTGTGTTCGTGTCTGGGTAGAGGAGTACTGTGTTCGTGTCTGGGTGGAGGAGTACTGTGTTCGTGTCTGGGTAGAGGAGTACTGTGTTCGTGTCTGGGTAGAGGAGTACTGTGTTCGTGTTTGGGTAGAGGAGTACTGTGTTCGGGTCTGGGTAGAGGAGTACTGTGTTCATGTCTGGGTAGAGGAGTACTGTGTTGTCTGCATTTCCTCGAGCAGATCTCTCCCTCACCTCCAGCTCACAGTCTCCTTTGTGGCCCTGCCTGCCTCCTCCAAGGATTAGCTTCAATTCCCTTATGTCTCTCTGATGCATTTTTAATCCTCTCCTTTCTCTGCCTTTTTGCCCTTTAATTATAGGCATCCTCAGGTTTTTACTGGAGGCCACCCACCTCTTCTCTGTCCACCCACTCCTGCTGCCTCTGGAGGCTGCCCCAGGCCTCTTAATGCTTCCCAGAGTTAGGGCTTTTTTTTGAGATGGATTCTCGCTTAGCGGCCCAGGCTGGAGTATAGCAGTGCATTCTCAGCTCACTGCAACCTCTGCCTCTCAGGTTCTAGAGATTCTCTAGCCTCAGCCTCCCAAGTAACTGGGATTACAGGTACATGCCACCACATTCGGGTGATTTTTTTGAATTTTTAGTAGAGGAGGGGTTTTCACAAGGTTAGCCAGGCTGGTCTCAAACTCCTGGCCTCAGGTGATCCTCCCAAAGTGCTGGGATTACAGGCATAAGCCACCGCACCAGGCCAGGTCTTTTACATTTAACATCTTGTACCTCCGTGCTGGGCTGCAAACAGCCCATGGTGTGGTCACACCATGACCATCTTTCTTCTTCCCCAAGCAGCACTCACACATGTTTTGTGAATTACTATTTCCACTGGTCAAGGAGCACATGAAGTACAATGTCTGCACCAACTAGAAGCCAATTCGCCCTAGTTTTACCTGTCAACAGGTGTAAACATTGCTTGGTCTTTGTAACTGGAACACTAGTACAAGGAATGATCATTGGTCCCAGCTCACAAAATGTCTTCATCCTGAGTGTGCTGTGGAAACCTTCCTGTGGAAGAAACTGATCTGATGGAAGGGCAGAATTTTTTCTACTCTGAAAGAAAAAGCAAAAGATCATGCCCAAAAGAAATCAGATCAAACACATCTTCTTTTCATAGAAAGTAAATCCATTTTATAAGACCTGCTGATGAATTGGACTCTATCCTGAGGAATTGAACTGATGATGGACCGAGACATATTCTGATGAGGATGGATGTCTGAAGGACCCCGGGGATCTGGCCTGGTAAAGAAAACCCAGACTTGCTGCAATTTTCAAGTACTTACAACACTGTCAGCTGAAGTACAGGTTTATTCTATGTGGCTCCAGAGGCCAAAAGTAAGAATAATGTGTAGAATTACAAGGAGGCAGATGAGATTTCATATCAAAAAGAAAAGTAATCGTTCATGGTACCTGGAAATGAAGTGGCCACACTGTGCTCCCATCAGCTCTCCCCCAGGAGTTTCCAAGGGCAACTCAGTGGCCGCCTGTCCGCGGAAGACAGATGCAGACGGCGCCAGAACAGCTGTCAGATGGAACGGCTCTGCCATTATCTAGCACTCTCTGTGAAAGACAAAAAAACCGATTTAATCTGAGACAAAGTTCTTAAAACCTATGCAGATGATCAAAACAATGTATAAGAATGAACAAATCGATATTAACAATAGCTGAGAAGAGCTGATGAGGGAAAGTTCTACATGGCAGAGGTTGTTTCCACCAATCAGAAGGTCGATCTTTCCCTTTCTCTGTTCCGGTTCCTTTATTTGATGCATAATACAACTGATAATATTATGAGTAGAAAAATCAAAAACAGTATGAAATGCTAGGTTCCTTAAGGTTCCACCAATAGTAACTTCATCTGTAATAAACTTTTAGAACACCTAAGCTTGTTAGCTAGTTGTATTAAAAAATGTGTCATAAATGATTATAAAAAATAATTTTTACAAATCAAAGATGATTATTTTATGTATTCACCAGATTGATGTTTCTAAATCAACATGGTCCCTTAAATCTTTAAAAATGCTTTAAAAATGACAGTGCCACACTTCCCCTGAATTTCACCTAAATTCTCTACAGTCTTACTTCACATACCTTTGCTTTTTATTAAAAAAAAAAAAAAAAAAAAAAAAAGAGGCAGATTTGGAAAGACCAGCAATCTCTTTCTTTTCTGATTTAACAGATATGTTAATGATTTTGTGTGTCATCTCTTAGCAATATTATGTTTAAACATGATTTAGTTATAATTTTATTTTAATGACATCAAGTTTTATATGTGGTAAGTTTATAGAAGTTTCTTTCTGTTCATTGCCTGTGAAACTGGGCATTAAAGTGGTTATTACTTTTTCTCTAAGAGACGTCCTCTAAGTGTGTATCACCCAAACAAGTAATCCAGGAATTAAAAATGTTTACGTAGGCCATGCGTGGTGGCGCATACATGTAATCCTAGCACTTTGGGAGGCCAAGGCAGGTGGATCACCTGAGGTCAGGAATTCAAGACCAGCCTGGCCAACATGATGAAACCCCGTCTCTACTAAAAATACAAAAATGAGCCAAGCATGATGGCAGGTGCCTGTAACCCAAGCTACTTGGGAGGCTGAGACGGGAGAATTGCTTGAACCCAGAGGATGGTGGTTGCAGTGAGCCGAGATTATAACACTGCACTCCAGCCTGGGCAGCTGAGCGAGACTCCATCTCAAAAAATAAAAATAAAAATATTTACTTATGTAACATTTATAATATTAAAATAGATTTTTTATTTAGGAATTATGAAGTGGACCAAATATATGACTCCACTTTCTTTAGCGGCGTTATTAAGATACAACACACCTACCATGCAATCCTTTCATTTGAGGTATGCGATTCCATTGGTTTCAGCAGTTCAGAGTTCTGCATCCATCAGTACAGCCAGTTTTACAACATTTTCATTATTCCAGAAAGAAATCCTACACCTTGCCGCCATCGCCCCTCCCCTGTTCCTCTAGTTTGTAATTGCCTGGTGTACGAGCTGCTTGTCTTTATATTAGTGGCTGCCATCCAAGTGTAAAGTTAAAGGGCTTTACTCTTGTGGGAAGTAAGCTCAGAATATTCCAGATCTGGCCCGGGCTCTCTGGCTGTCGCGTGAAGAAGGAGAGAAGTGTTCTTGGCAGTACCCCTGCCACTAAGATTCCTTTGGAAGATTCTACTGTACTCAGGTTTGGAGGACTGAACTCAACAATGTCCAAACCAGAAATCCTGTTTCTTAGAGCTAATGGAAGAAACTATGTGTCCCACGAAAAGCACCCCACAGACCAAATTGTTCAGAATATTGACGTTGTACTTACTGCAAAACATATTAGGTAGTTGTAAATAACTTATGAAGTATTATAGTTTTGCTATCAAATTTCCTTAAATAGTCTTATTTGAAAACTAACCTCCAGCTCCTATCAGAAATAACTAAAAAATACACTCATAGAGGCCATATTGCCACAGTAGTACCACTCTGAATTACTCACAGAAGAGTAACAGACCAAGATAGCAGGTAAAATAAGGGACAGGTGGATATGTTCAAAACTCCTGGCCGGGCATGGTGGCTCATGTCTGTAATACCAGCACTTTGGGAGGCCAAGGCGAGCAGATTATGAGGTCAAGAGATTGAGACCACCCTGGCTGACATGGTGAAACCCCCTTCTCTACTAAAAATACAAAAATTAGCCGGGCATGGTGGCGGGCGCCTATAGTCCCAGCTACTCAGCCTCCCAAGTAGCTGGAACTATAGGCGCCTGCCACTACACAGTGAAACCAAAAAATCACTAGGTGATTTTTCGTATTTTTAGTATACCAGGGTTTCACTGTGTTAGCGAGGCTGGTCTCCATCTGCTGACATCGTGATCCATCCCCCTTGGCCTCCCAAAGTGCTGGGATTACAGGCGTGAGCCACCACACCCAGCCAAAGGATATCTTTTAAATTTTCTGTAAGTCTGGAATTACACTAAATTTTATGAAGTTTTTTTTTTTTAGAATTTTATCTGATGGATAAAATTTATTTTATTCTCCTATTTTATTCACAGTACTCTTATTCACAGCATTGCTAAAGGTAAAACTCAATAGCTGTTTGTTGCCTGACTTAGCTATAGATAAAAAATACCTGTTTTGCAATAAGAAAAGAAAAAGTTGTCAAAACAACTGGATGGGAAAACAATGAAGTTTTGAAAGAACAGGAACTTTTAAGATTATCAATCAGAAGGTAACTGTGGCAGAACTGTAGGTAGGTTTTATAAATAAAACAACAGAGTTACAACATAGATTCCCACATAGTCATTCCCAAAACAATGACTTTTATCCTTGATGTCTTTAGTATTGACTTTATGCTAATAATACAAAAACATGTTTATATGATTGATAGTAATATAAAATAATATAAAACATGGTTTATATAATAATATAATATAAAATATGTAATATAAATCATGTTTTATATATATATATGTTTTTGAGACAGAATGGGGCTCTGTCACCCAAGCTGGAGTGCTGTGACATCATCTTGTCTCACTGCAACCCCTGTCTCCTGGGTTCAAGCAATTTTCCTGCCTCAGCCTCCCGAGTAGCTGGGATTACACATGCATGCCCACCACACCGGGCTAATTTGTTTGTATTTTTAGTAGAGACGGGATTTCATCATGTTGGCCAGGCTGGTCTCAAACTCCTGACCTCAAGTGATCCATCCACCTCAGCCTCGTAAAGTGCTGGGATTACAGTTATAAGCCACCATGCCTGGCTATTATTATTAATAATAATATAAAACAAATATGTAATATAATGCACATTAATTATATTACATATTTGTACAAACTTGGAGAAAAGAGGCAAAACTCAAAATGTCTCTCTGTTGCTTCTTTTTGTCTTGTGCGTCATTTCTTATAATCCCGTTTCTATAGGAATGAGGCATATCTTGGTAATTGAAAATATATTTGTGAGAAAGAATAGACTGAGAGGTCATTAATTGTTTGCTGGAAAGATTTATTTATTTTCCTTTAAAAATTTACTATAGGTTTTCACTAAGAATTAGTAAGCTCGTCAGTATATTTAAAGTATAGTTTATGTTATGACCTCATTTAATTCCTCAGTGAAATGATCAGAGAGGACCCTACGTTGATGGATTCTAGTTTCCAGGAGAAGTAGGCTTGGCATAGCTTTGCATTGAACCTGGGCTTGACTGAAGAGAGTTTAGTGCTGGGCTAGTGGCATCTGTACTGGGTAACCAAGGGCCTGGGTGTCTAAGGCACAGGCTGTGTATTTGAAATTCTAGGACCGGGGGAATCAGTGATTCTCAGTGGTTCTCAGTCTAGGACAGCCCCTAAGGGGCTTTAGAAATATGTGACATTTTTGTGTCGCAGCAACTGGGGGTGATTTAACATTTCTAGGAGAACCTGGGACATTCAACATCCTGCGGTGCAGAGTTCACAACAAAGCCACTTCCCACTTAGAAGCCATTAGTGCCCCCGTAGTGATCTGTGAGCTCTCCAAAGCCAGCTTCCTGAGCACATGACCCTGATGAGGTACATCTGCGTGCCTGCTACATCCCTTGTCTTATGCGCAGAAGCGGACGGCTATCAGAGGGCAGTGTTCCCTGGTGGGCAGTAGGAAAGTCTACCTTTCCTGTGTGTGGGGAGCTAGCACACTCTCCCAACTAGGTCTTTCCTTCTGGAACATGGGAAATAGAGAATGGAAGCAACATGTTGCTTTGCTTTTCCTTATACTGTGGTAATCTTTCCAAAAAATCCCTTTAGTTGTGGTAATCTTTCCAAAAAATCCCTTTAGTTGCATTTCTATAGAAAAATTGTAAAAGGTATGGCTTGAACCCATGCCTCAAACATATAACTGAAAAACAGAAAATATTAATAGCATCCTGAGTAGCATAATCACCTCTCCCCTCCCCTCCTGTCTTTTCCTGTCCTTTCCTCTCCTTTCTTTCTACACCACTCTTTCTTTTTTAGACAGGGTCTCATTCTCTCACATGCCTCATGTGTAGAGGCATGATCTCGACTCATTGCAGCCTCAACCTCCCAGACTCAAGTGATCCTCCCAACTCAGCCTCATGAGTAGCTGGGATTAGGGGCATGTGCCACCACACCTGGCTAGCTTTTTGTATTTTTTGTGGAGATGGGGTTTCGCTATATTCTCCAGGGTGGTCTTGAACTCCTGGACTCAAGGGATCTACCTACCCTTGGAATTTGGTTTTGATAGCTTCTTGAGCTGTCTTTTGAGAAATATGGCTCCACTATCCTCTTTGGGGTTTAAATAACTAATTAAAACCCTTTGTTTTTGTCATCCTTGAAAATATTTTCAAAATATGTCCTACCAGCTATTAAAGTTTTATCACCGTAATCTCTCCAGGGCTAATTTGCTGACGGGGAAGCTGTTGTTACTGGTCAAGCCTCCTCTCACAAGACTGCGTGGCAGGTGCACCATTCTCATTATACCCCTGTCTTCTAAATAGGAGCATAATTAGAATGAGGACTTCTCTGCCTCCAACTACTCTGGTTCCTGGGTAGGCCAACTGAGAGACCTTTTTGAAGTCAGAGGGAGAGAGTTTTTGCTTTTTGGAAGCCAGCTACCTTAACAAATTCAAATAAAGTTTTAAGGTGACTATCACTTAAAAGTAAATGAAGAAAAAACAAGGCTTCTATCTCTGAACACAAAGGGCAGTAAAGCTATGTGTGTGTATGTATGCATGTATGTGTGTGTGTGTACACACGTGTGGATGTGTGTAGTTTTGACTCATTACTAAAAATTACCGCTTTGAGAAAAGAAAACGGAAATTGAAGCAGTTGAAAATCAAATTCCTTTGAGTTTCTCCTTTGACTCAGCCTTTCAAAACTTTTCATTGGCCCTGGCCCCAGGCTGCCCAGCCAGCCCCCTCTCTTACTCCCACCCCATTCTGAGTCCTTCATAGGACTCACTCAGATGAGCCCTTATGAATTTAAGCTATTGAGGAGGAGGCAAAAAGAGAGACTTTTATTCTCCATGAACTGTGGCCATTTCTCCAAAGAAACAGTTGTCTGGCATCTCAGTAATATCTTTGTAGTCAGTATCATGTGAGAACCTCCCAACCTCAGCACAACGTTTGTTCTCTTTCCCCAATGCTGCCAGAAACTTTGGGGTAATTGCCTAACCCATCATCTACCTAAATTATAGCAAGACAACATTGTTAACATTTCCTTCCAGTGAAAGCCTGTGCAGGGAGGCGGAGGACCTGTGTTCATCTAAACTGTAGCTAATTGAAGCAGCCACTTTAGGCTCTGTTGGAAACACAATCAGATAATTACAGCCATTTACAGATTCCCAGAGAGGGTGGAGGAGGAGTGGCCATGAGTTCATGCTTGTAGCTTGCTGATGGCCCTGTGGGGTTCACGATCCTGGTCTCTACTTTTGTAAATGATTTCCATAATAGAGGCTTAGAATACTTTGTTAAACCAAACCAAAGTTAGAAACAGTTATTGAGATTTCTGCCTAAAATACCTTCCTAGGACGATCTTGCTAGTTAGGTCTCCCTTGATTCCCCTAGATGAAAGAAACTCCTCCCTTACCCTGTATGATTTTACTTCTTTACAACCTATATATGTGACATTTACATGAGTCACATATACAGATGTTGCAATGTGTATACAATGAAACATTCTATTTAAATTATTTTAATGTATGTAATTTTAAATATATTACATATTTATTTCATATTAAACAGTATGCTGAGTGAGCATGACTTAGCTTTGCCTTGATAACTCAGTCATGTTTATGGGCATCAAATATTCAACTTGACTGTAGCGGAGGATGATACATCCTAGTGTGTGTGTGTGTGTGTGTGTGTGCGCGCGTGCACGCGTGTCTGTACATGCACACTCTTATTCATTTGGCATTGGCCTCCCCTGCTAGAAAATAGTCTTCATGAAAGCAGGAACTTGGTCACTTTTGCATATCCCTGTTACATAGGAACCAGGAACTGAAATTTTCTGTTCAACAAACATGTTGCATGGTGAATAAAATGAGTGCCAGACTACTAAATACTATATTTTGTTCTTTTTTGGTTTTCTTTTAGTTGCAGAATTAAGACAAATCTTTGAACCAAAGAAAAAAGAATTCTTAGAAATGAAAAGGTAAGATCTTTATAGTATGGCATTAGGAAGTAGAAGACAGCTTGGCAAAGAAGTATTCCATTTTCCTTCAGACTCAATCGCTGTTGCTCACTCTGCCTCTCTTGGTGTATTTCACAGAAAAGAAAGAATTGCCAGGCGCCTGGAAGGAATTGAAAATGACACCCAGCCCATCCTCTTGCAGAGCTGCACAGGGTTAGTGACTCACCGCCTGCTGGAGGAAGACACCCCTCGATACATGCGAGCCAGCGACCCTGCCAGCCCCCACACTGGTGAGCGGGGAGTTGGGTGGCCCATTTTCCAACATGCTGCCTGGCTTGTTACACACTGCCTTTTCCACCCAGTGGTGTCAGGACATGAGATATTCCACAAAAGTGAACTGTATTGATATTATTTTTTGTAACACAAGGTTCCACTCTGTCACACAGGCTGGAATGCAGGAGTGTGATCACAGCTCACTGCAGCCTTGACTCCTGGGCTCAATCTCAGGGCTTCTCCCGCCCCAGCCTCCTGAGTAGCTGGGACTACAGGCTAACACTACCACACATGGCTAATTTTTAAAAACTTTTTTGTAGAGATGAAGTCTCATTTATTGGGATATTGTCCATTTCTGAAAAATATGCATGATTGATACTGTGAGCATTTTTAGAAAATATCAAGAAATATAGGGAGGATAGTGAAAACTGTGATAATTCCACCTGCTAGAAATATTCCCAGTTAACATTTTCTGTCTTCTCTCCTAGTCTTTTTGCAAAGTGTTTATGTGTATGTAGTGTTTACTAAAAACAAACAGTGAGATCACATTAAGCAAACTGTTTTAGCAAATGCTGTTTTCCCCCCAATGCTAGATCATAACATTTCTCCATGGCATTAAATGGTTTCTGTGTACTCATTTTTAATGACTATAAAATGAGTTGCCCAGGCTGGTCTCTAACTTCCGGCTTTTAGTGATTGTGTCACCTTGGCCTTCCAACATGCTGAAAATATAGGTGTGAGCCAATTGACCTGGCCTAATTTTTTGTTAAATGTATTTGTTTTTGTTTATTTTCATTTTATTTTATTTTTTAGAGATAGAGTCTCTCGCTGTCACCTAGGCTGGAGTGCAGTGGCCTGATCACAGCTCACTGAAACTTCAACCTCCCAGGCTCAAGTGATCCTTCCACCTCAGCTTCCCGAGTAGCTGGGCCTACCATCCCCAGCTATTAAACATATGTGTTAAACACAGCAACAACATGTATGTCATCTCTGCCCTGCCTCACAGCTAGGGCCTTCCAGTGTCTCAGCTGTATGAAATGATTCCCCTCGCACATCATTGGGTAACTGAGGACCAGTCATTTTCCTCAGTGCAGTCACTGTGGCTTTCTGCACTGTCAGGGCCCAGCACAGGATCCCTGCTCTGAGACAGGGGCCTCTCACTGTCCTCAGCCAGCACAGGGAGCAGCTGCTCTCAGCAGAGACCGTTAGAGGCAAAGCTGTACCTTGCATGACGACGGTTCTGACTCTGGAGATGCAACGAAACATTCTATTTAAGTTATTTTAATTTAGGTAATTTTAAGTACGTTGCATCCATCTTAAACAGTTTGTTGAGTGCACATGATTCAGCTTTTCTGTCATCACTCAGTCACTGTCATTGTCAAATACTTGACTTGACCTTAGGAGAGGAGGATGTACACAGGGCCATTCTTCCCACCACAGTCCCTGGCTTCCGACGCTCTGTGCTGCTGCTTTTTATTTAATTAGTTTTTATTTTATTTTATTTATTTTTGAGATGGAGTTTCACTCTTGTTGCCCACGCTGGAGTGCAATGGCATGATCTTGGCTCACTGCAGCCTCTGCCTCCTGGGTTCAAGCAATTCTGCCTCAGCCTCCTGAGTAGCTAGGATTACAGGCGCATGCCACCATGCTCAGCTAATTTTTTTGTATTTTTAATAGAAATGAGGTTTCACCATGTTGTCCAGGCTAGTCTCGAACTCCTGACCTCAGGTGATCCACTGGCCTCCCAAAGTGCTAGGATTACAGGCATGAGCCACAGCGCCCAGCCATGCTGCTGCTTTTTACAGCCAGTGATTTCTAGTTTCTTGTTCAGAGAGAGCTGTTGATCCCACTTTATGATGTTATCAGTTTGCTTATTTCTACAGTTTCTAATTTCTGGTGGCCAGAAAGCTAGAAAACTGAGATATTTTTAAATCACATGCAATTATTTTTTAAAAGGCTGGGCGTGGTGGCTTACACCACTAGTCCCAGCACTTTGGGAGGTTGAGGCAGGAGGATAGCTTGAGCTCAGGAGTGCAACATTAGCCTGGACAGCTAGACTCCATCTCTTAAAAAGTAATTACATGCATGAAATATCAATACATAGATCAGAGTCCCAAAATATATAGCCAGAAATAAACCCTAGTGTATATGAAATGGTAATCTGTGTAGTAAATGATAGTCTAAACATCACATAGTAGCAAGAAAAGGAATAATTATTTAATAAACTTGTAATGAAAAACTTGGGTTCATCAGAGGGTGGGGAGAGGCATATTCCTCTTCTCACTTCATAGCACCCTCCAAAATTAGTTCCAGTCACCCACCTGTTTAATTAAAGAAAATAATGGAAAAGATATATGAATATTTAATTCAGGTAGAATTGAAAAGTCTATATGGGAAGGGTTAAGGTAATAATGGAATGCCTGTTAGACTGTTAAGACCCTTAAAAATGATGTCTTCAGCCAGGCTTGGAGGCTCAAACTTGTAATCCCAGCACTTTGGGAGGCTGAGGTGGGCAGATCACAAGATCAGGAGTTCGAGACCAGCCTGGCCAATATGGTGAAACCCCATCTGTACTAAAAATACAAAAATTAGTCAGGTATGGTGGCACGCACCTGTAGTTCCAGCTACTTGGGGGGCTGAGGCAGGAGAATTGCTTGAACTCAGGAGGCAGAGGTTGCAGTGAGCCAAGATCACACCACTGTACTCCAGCCTGGGTGACAGAGCAAAACGCTGTAAAAAAGAAAAGCCTGGTGAATACTGATATGGGCCATTTTGTTATGGTTGCTCTCAGATCCTGGGAAACCAGTGTCCATCACTTGTTCAATGACAGCAGCTCAGTTGTCTGCTATGTTTCCCAGAGGACTCTGAACTCATCCTGTTGCCTCCCCTGTGAAATCCTAAACTCCACAAAAAAGGTTAGATCAGTAAGGGGAAATAATCAGTGAACAAGGACTGAGATGCTCTCGGGAGTGAGGGGCTGAGCTGAAGTTAAAGCCCTGCCTTTCCTGGGTTGCAGAATGCGCACCATTCACAGCCTTTGTAGATTTCACTTCAGATCTCAGACTTCAGCAGCCCAGGTCAGTCACTTTAGGTGAAGACACCTTGGTAAGAAACTGGTCCTTCCCAGGATGGGCACCCAGGTGTGCGCTGTGTACAGTAGAGTGTGTCTCTCTGTGTGTAAATACATGTCTTTACTTGAAATCTGTACCTTTTGTCCATGTGACATCCTTGTAGGCCGATCAAATGAAGAGGAGGAAACTTCTGATTCTCCTCTAGAAAAGCAAACTCGATCTAAATACTGCACAGAAACCTCTGGCGTCCACAGTGAATCACCCTATGGTTCCGGTACCATGGACACCCACAGTCTGGAGTCCAAAGCGGAAAGAATCGCAAGGTACAAGGCAGAAAGAAGACGACAGCTGGCAGAGAAATATGGGCTGACTCTGGATCCCGAGGCCGACTCCGAGTATTTATCCCGCTATCCCAAGTCCAGGAAGGAGTCTGATGCTGTCGAGAAGCGGGGAGGAAAAGGTGACAAACAGGAGGAGTCAAGCCGGGATTTGAGTTCTCCATACTCCGGGACAGAGACAAGGGGGCTCAGGACCTGTGCAGGTGAATCCAAGGACTATGCCCTCCACGGGGGTGACAGTGCTTCCAACCAGGAGGTGCTGCTGAACATAGAAAACCAAAGACAAGATCAAGAGCTGAGTGCCACCCGGCAGGACCACGACCTGCCCCCAGCCACTGAGAGTTCCTTGACCTTCTCTTTCTCTGGGCGAGAATCCTCCTTCACGGAAGTGCCACAGTCTCCAAAGCATGCACACAGCTCCTCCCTGCAGCAGGCAGCCTCCCGGAGCCCCTCCTTTGGTGACCCACAGCTACCCACTGAGGCCCGACCCAGGTAAGCATCCGGCCCATGCTAACCACCCTGAATGGAGGAGAATACCTTCTTTTTGCCTCTCTGTGTGATAGGGTTTGCGTATTCTTAGCATCCCATGGAGGTCAAAGCTCATTGGAGAAATATCATGGTATATGATTCTTCTTTCTTTTTTTTTTCAGAGACAGGGTCCCACTCTGTTGCCCAGGCTGGAATACAGTGCTGCCATCACAGCTCACTGCAGCCTTAAACTCCTGGGCTCAAGCAGTCCTCCAGCCTAAGCCTCTTAAGTAGGTGGGAGAACAGGCACATGCCACCATGCACAGCTAAGTTTTACATTTTTTTCTGTAGAGACGGGATCTCACTATGTTGCCCAGGCTGATCTTGAATTCCTGGCCACAGGAGATTCTCCTGTTCAACCTCCAAACATGCTGGGATTACAGGGATGAGCCACCACACCTGGCCTAAGATTCGTACATCTCCACAGTATCCAAACAGGTTCTACCAAAGCAGGAAGCCCCATGTTCTTTTGCTCCTTATGTTCTTTTTAAAAACAAACTGAATGGGTGTCATGGTCACACTTTCATGGATGCCTCACTTCAGGACCCCTCTTACGGGTTCCTCACCTGCCTTTCATAGTTCATCTTTTCTTGGGTTTTCTGTAATCATATCTGAGACCAAGGATTGTTAGTGATTGCTTTGGTTGCTGAGATTAGAATCACAGAGCAGAAGAAGCACCACTAACCTATAGAAGCATCTCAGCACAGGGCACAGACGTACAACTGCAGTGTACATGAAATAGAACTAGAATGCTTAGTTCTGTAAGTATAGCATACACTAGGACACAGGTGTGTGTGAGAACCCCGCATTATAAAGATCAGCCGTTAGACAAACCACTGTGTAAAAGGATCCACTCAAGATAAGAGCTGCTCCCGTTTGGAGAAATTAAAAAAGGTACGAAATCAGAAAGTCAGATGCCAGAAGAGAATATGTGTTTATTCCCAGATTTACATTTTAAAAGTGTGATGACCGTATTAAAAAATGTAATTTACTTAACTGTCCTGCTTAAAGCTTTGGGGTAATTGTCTAAGTGGATCTTAAGGGTATTCTTCAGTTCGAACAACCAATAGCTTCCCAGGTGAATTGAGAAGGGATGAGAACCTAAGGTCAGGCAGATTCATTCTGAACAAAGGAGACTGACATGTGGGAAACACTCCTAGTTGTTTCCCTCCGGGACAGAGGGGTGCATACCGGCTCATCTCTAAGTGGCAGTAGCACATCTGAAGCAGATCCTTGTGGTATTGAAATTTATTGATTTATTTATTTTTATTTTTTGAGACAGAGTTTTGCTCTTGTTGCCCATGCTGGAGTGAGTGCAATAGCACGATCTTGGCTCACCACAACCTCTGCCTCCCAGGTTCAGGGGTTCCAGCAACTCTCCTGCCTCAGCTTCCCGAGTAGCTGGGATTACAGGCATGCGCCACCATACCTGGCTAATTTTGTATTTTTAGTAGAGATGGTGTTTCTCCATGTTAGTCAGGCTGGTCTCGAACTTCTGGCCTCAGGTGATCCACCCACCTTGGCCTCCCAAAGTGCTGAGATTACAGGCATGAGCCACCATGCCTGGTTGGTATTGAAATTTATTAAGCCAAAGACCTGTCACTACATACTTGAGCACCCAGACTAAAATATTTAGAGAGATCAGCTTCCAAGACAATGAAATCCTATAGATCCCAATGATGTATTCTGAGGACCTTTGTTCAGCCTTTAGCTGTAGCTACTGGAATATAGGGACTATGAGTTACCGTGTCATTTTTTTTAAATGAAGGTCCTTTGCTTGGGGAATTTGCATTTCATCATGGAAACCATGTTCTTGGATTAGTTACTCTCTACCAAAGGAAGTCCTTCACGTGCTTTTTTGAGGATGCCAAAGAACCTAACAGACGCCAATTTAGAAAGAATATTATAGATATATAACTACACTGGTTTAAAAGAAATGAGGAATCTATTTTTCGGATAGCCACATGTTGACAGCTGATGAATTCATTATCATGGTACTGAGTTAGTTACCTAGATCACATATAATAGATTCTCAATAAGATTTTAAATCAGTTACAATAGTAATTAAGATTTTGTTAAGCATTCCAAGTAAAAAGACAGTATACTTCATATTTTGTGTTAAAATCTTAATATTCAAAAATGTGTATAACTTCTCTTAAGACCTAGACAAAAGCATTTTTGACATATTTATTCCTGTAACAAAATTAAGTCTCCATAAGTTATTTTGAAGATGCATATTACCTAGAAGTATTCATAAACCAAGTGTTAGCTTCACAGCACTTTAGTTTCATGAAAAAGATTTAAAAGGATTGGCCGGGCGCAGTGGCTCAAGCCTGTAATCCCAGCACTTTGGGAGGCTGAGGCTGGTGGATCACGAGGTCAACAGATCGAGACCATCCTGGTCAATTTGGTGAAACCCCGTCTCTACTAAAAATGTAAAAAATTAGCTGGGCATGGTGGCGCGTGCCTATAATCCCAGCTACTCAGGAGGCTGAGGCAGGAGAATTGCCTGAACCCAGGAGGCGGAGGTTGCGGTGAGCCGAGATCGCGCCATTGCACTCCAGCCTGGGTAACAAGAGCAAAACTCCGTCTCAAAAAAAAAGATTTAAAAGGATTAAGAAATTATAAAGGACTTCTAGAACAGATGCAAGCCTTATTTTCTAAGCCATTTAAGGTATATAATTCTATGATTCATAGGCAAAGAAACACAAATTAGCTTATATATTTAGTAGGAAAATACTTGAGATATATTTACATAAAGAGGGATGAAAAATGTGTGACAAACTTGACATTTAGGAAAATCAAGATTTACGGCCAGGCGCAGTGGTTCACGCCTCTAATCCTAGCACTTTGGGAGGCTAAGTCAGGTGGATCACGAGGTCAAGAGATCGAGACCATCCTGGTCAATATGGTGAAACGCTGTCTCTACTAAAAATACAAAAATTAGCTGGGCACGGTGGCGCACACCTGTAGTCCCAGCTACTCAGGAGGCTGAGGCAGAAGAATTGCTTGAACCCAGGAGGCAGAGGCTGCGGTGAGCCGAGATCGTGACATTGCACTCCAGCCTGGGTAACAAGAGCGAAACTCCATCTCAAAAAAAGAAAAAAAAATTAAGATTTACGTTGTAATGACAGCACTTATTGAGCTTGTAAAAACTGATTTACAATGGATAAAATTCTGCTTAGACATTCTTTATCTAGAGCCAGGAAATTCAAGTTTCAGAAAGTCATTGTCTGACTCCTATTTAGGAAGAAGCAAGATGAACCAAAAAAAATACGTTGTAACCTAAAACACTAACCAAGGAAATCTCCTCAGTGACCTAAATAACAGTTTGTGAAAATAATAATGTCATCTGATATGGAAACATGTAACCGAAAACTTTACAATTAACAGGGAAGAAAAAAGTATTGGTAAATAATTTTTAATGCTGTGGTTTTTTGTGGACTTTTTTTCTGCCACTAAAATGGAATATTTTTCTCACTGCTGCATTCTCTTATGATCTAGCTCTGCCAGACTTTTTGGCTGTTAAATCTCTGAATCCACTCATTCCCATTTAAACATTTTATTCTGTGCTTGCTAGGCTGTTTTATTATTTACATATGAATATACCACCAAAAGACCGCCAATAGTGTCCTAAACATTCAAATGTGAGCCCCATCTCCAATACTCAGTTTTTGAATGTGCTCATGTACACTAACACCTGTACACACCTGTGCTATACACAGAATAATCATAGATTCTTTTTTTTTTTTTTTTTTTGAGATGGAGTCTCACTCTGTTGCCCAGGCTGGAGTGCAATGGCACAGTCTTGGCTCATTGCAACTTCCGCCTCTGGGGTTCAAGTGATTCTCCTGCCTCAGCCTCCCAAGTAGCTGGCATTATAGGGGCCCACCACGACGCCCAGCTAATTTTTGTATTTTTAATAGAGACGGGGTTTCACCATGTTGGTCAGGCTGGTCTGGAGCTCCTGACCTCATGATCCACCCACCTCAACCTCCCAAAGTGCTGGGATTACAGGCGTGAGCCATCACACCTGGCCAATAATCATTAATTCTTATAGTTCACCATACTATACTCTTTAACCATTATAGGCAAAATAATAGTCTTTAGGACAATATTTAGCTGAGTAATAAATTGATTTTATAGTCTTTAGTTTATATGATAAAGAAGGCTTTTTAAAAATTAGTTAACTGATTAGTTGACATTATAGGATCTTTAGCTTGTTAGATGCCCAGGAATTCAGATGAACACACTGTTCTGAAGAAAACTAAGAATGCACATAGTAACAAAATAGGTGAAGTAGAGAATAGTAAGACACTTCCAGCCCCACCTCTCCAACCCTTTCAAACCTATAAACCTGGAATTTCAGAAATGGTATTTGCTGGAGAGGTGGTGTTACTGATATGAACCATTCTTTGTTAATTCTACCAGTGAATTTTACAATAAAATCCAAAGAGATTCTGGTCCTATGGATTATTTAATTTTTTTTTTTTGAGACGGAGTTTCGCTGTTGTTACCCAGGCTGGAGTGCAATGGTGTGATCTCAGCTCACCACAACTTCCGCCTCCTGGGTTCAGGCAATTCTCCTGCCTCAGCCTCCTGAGTAGCTGGGATTACAGGCATGCGCCACCATGCCCAGCTAATTTTTTGTATATTTAGTAGAGACAGGGTTTCACCATGCTGACCAGGATGGTCTCAATCTCTTGACCTCATGATCCACCCGCCTCGGCCTCCCAAAGTGCTGGGATTACAGGCTTGAGCCACCGAGCCTGGCCGGATTATTGAAATTTTTAAACATCTGAGCTTCTGCTACTACTAGAAATTCCAAATCCAAAGCTCTTGTTGAATTTGCTACTTTGTATATCTCATGTATCTATATAAAGGAAACGCATATAAAGAAAAGGGGGGTCTTTGTTACTTTTCTGAAGAAAGGGTCTCCAGTCCTGCTGCTGCCTTTGCTCAGC